ACATACAGATAAAACAAAAATATGCAGGAAAAGATATACAAAAGAAAGCAGAAATAGATGTATTAATTCCAGATCTCAGGTTAAATGTCACCTTTACAGGAAACCCTTCTGTAACCACTCACTCAAAGGTGAGTTCATGCTCACCTCATTCACATTCAATTATATAATCATGAACATTTACCATTGTCTATTTCTCTATAACAAAAGCTTTATCAAAGTTAGGTTCTAATCAGCCAGGCGTGGTAGCGCATGCCTGTAATTCCAGTTACTTGGAAGGCTGAGGCAGAAGGATCACCGGAGCCCAGCAGGTCGAGGCTGCAGTGGCCAGGAGCGGCCACTGCACTCCAGTCTGGATGACAGAGTGAGACTCCAACTCCAACTCCAAAAAAAAAAAAAAGCTAGGTTCTTGTTTACTTGTTCACAGCTAACTACCCACCATCCCAGCTCTCAGAATTTAGAGCATAATAAGCACTCTGGCTCATATGCAGAAAATAAGCTGCAAAGAGTCATAGTAAACAATGAGGCTAATCCAAAAAAGAGATCACAATAACATGGGCAAGAGCAGTGGTGGAGAAGCTGGAGAGAAGGGAACCAATTCAGATATTTAGGTAGTAAAATCAGCAGGACATAATATTGATTGGATGTGGTGGCAAGAAAGGATGAGAATCAAAGATGACGCTCGGGCTACTCAGAATGCTGAGTGATCTGTGAAATTGTTCACCGAGGTTGAAAAACATGAATGGAAGCAGGTTTGGGGGAAGATAATACACTCGGATTTAGATATGCGGCACTGGAGACACCTGTGCAATAGCCATGTGGAGACCAGGAAAAAGGAGGTTGCAGGTGGAGTCTCGAGAATGATTAATATACAAAGGATACTTGAAGTCATGAGAGTAGACGAAATCATTCAGTAGATGAATGTAAAATGAAAAAAGAAAAGGTCAGACCATTGTGGAGGTCAAAAACGTAATTATGACCAAACCATTCTAATCTTCATATAGTACTCCCTTTGTATTTATAACTAAATACAACACTGACTTCCCTACAGTACACTCAGTGTATATTTTATCAGTCTGAGCCTATTTATGAAATAAACAAAGCTTGACTTCTTTCATTATCACACTTTGAGTATGGCATTCTAGAAACTAACTTATTAATCATTCTGTTAAGTGCTTATTAATGTGAGCTTAATTTTCTAAATATCAATCAAATCATTCTAAACTAAGCATAAAATATAAACTCAAAAATATGATTCACATTTTTAAAGAGGTCTATAATAATCAATATAAAAGAGCCTTTCTGCTAATACAGAACTTTTTACAAGTATATAAACTGCAATTTAATGTAGTACCTAGTTGCTTATTTTGCTCAGCAATTAATTCCATTAGAAATGTACACATTATGAATCAAATTAAATTCTGAAAAGGAAAAATAATACTTAGTGAATGTGCTTGAAACTGATTTACTTGCTCTCAATATTGTTGCCACTTTTTTATTTTGAAAATGCTTTTTTGGCAGGGCATGGTGGCTCATACCTATAATCCCAGCACTTTGGGATTCAGAGGCAGGAGGATCGCTTGAGCCTGGGAATTCAAGACCAGCCTGGGCAACATGGTGAGACCTCATCTCTACAAAAAATCAAAAAATTAGCAAGGTGTGGTGGGACAATCCTGTAGTCCCGGCTATTCGAGAGGCTGAGAAGGGTGAATCACTTCACCCCAGAAGTGTGAGGCTATGGTGAATCGTGCTCATGCCACTGCACTTCAGTCTGGGCGAAGAGTGTGACCCTGACTCAAAAACAAGCAAACAAAACAAGAAAACACTGTTTTATTAGAAAATTAAGCCTGCTCCACATCTGTGATGTTCTGATTATGCCCATACAGAAATAAGACTGGTTTCTCTCTATTAAATTATGTGAAAGACACCTCATAATAAGGTATAGACAAGAATACAAAGCTACTGGTGACAAAATATTTTAGTCAGTATCAGAATCGGCACTAAACAGAGCAATAAATATATATGTAGATGTGTACACCATCTATGAAGCACAGACTATCAGATTTGTGTGTATCCTCCATCCATAAACTAAATACATAAGAATTAACTCTGAACAACAAAAGTAGGAGTAGGGGAAGGAGGCTGGAGAAAGACTCTTGTTTTTTACTCTAAATGGTGTTTATTTTAATATAATCCATCCTTGTATGGCTTACGTTTAAAAATGAAATATGAATACCAATGTCGCTGACACCGTCCTATGGACACAAGGGACATCTTATACCCTGCAATACCCCAATAATTTCTCTCAGACAACTCATTGATGCTGTGGCCCCACACATCAAATGCTAAGTTAATGAACCAAAGTTATGTCCCCATGAGTATACATATTATAGATTTTATGCTACAAATTCACATCCTCTATATCAATTTCTATTCCAAGTGTTTTTGACTACTGTTCATTATAGTTCATAGTTCAGCTTGTCAGTTTAATTTCATGTAGCTTTGTAGGTGTCTACAATAATTACAATATTTAATGCTGTATCTTAGGATGGAGATAAACAAAGTTGTTTAAATGCATATGTTCTGGCTAGTCTTTGATTCCCCCTCCACACACATACAAACACATACTCTAATTGGCTATATATATCTTTCATCTTACTAGCTGTTTTCCCATTACTTTCCACAGTATATCTGACAATGACATTATTATTTATGCTATAGTAAACCGCTAGTATACGTAGTAAAAATACATGCACTATAATGAATCAAAATGACATAGCCACCCGCCAAACTCCTTCCACTCATTCTAATCAGATAATGGATTTTTTTCTTGAGTGTACTACAAAAGGGGAAAAATAGCATTGGAGAAAAAATAGTCATAAAAACAGAGAAAAATAAAAGTAAATGCTTACTTAGGCCACTGAGATTAGAAAGGAAGTTCACCTAAAAGATTTATGTCAAATAATATGATAATTCGTCACTTCTCTATGTATTGTTTAATCTCAAATTCCTGGAAAAATGTAGCTCAGTGTCACATGAATAAATATCACCATAAAACAGCAAAAATATCACCATAAAATAGCCTTTCTGGAATTTACACAGTAGAAAAAGCATGAATTTCATTTTTTTGCTTTTTGTTATTGTTGTTGCTAATGATCTTACATAAATCTGGGACCTTTTTAACCTTAGCAAAATTTTTTATTTATAAAATGAGGTAAAAATAACTCAATCATTTTAAAAATTTCCTATTCTAATTAGAAAGATGTTATTATTAAGCTTTTAAAAAAAATTTTGTTTTGTGTTCCTTGGAGATAGAGTACCTCCTCATCAAAAGCAAAATAAAAGGAAAGGAGGGAGTATACTAGATAACAAAAACTAGACCTAATCAGAATTTTAGAGCAAGAACAAAATTTAGGTTTAAAGGAGAAGTTAAAAGTCAGACTGTAAGGGTTTATTTCCTTAACTTTAGGGCTTATGAATTATAGGATATTTGGCAAGTTGCTTGCCTCTCAGTCTTCCATTTTCTTTATTAGTAAAACAAGCATGGTAAGAGTACCTAATCCTCACAAGATTCTTATAAATTAAATGCAGTAAAATAGTGTGCGTAGTATACAGTAGATGTCTAATAAATATTAGCTCCTATCATTTAGTATAGATTCAGAAACTGAGGTCCAGAGACTTTATGTTTTCCCTGAGATAATTTAACCAGCAAATGGAAGAAACAGCATTAGAAATTGGGACCCTGATACATTTGCAATTTGACTTGTTTTCCATTAAGATCACTTTATTTGCAGTATGAAGAAATGACTTTCTAAGGAAAAACTAAGATAACAGAAAATGCCTCAGATAAAGATGGCCTAGATTTAAAAGAAGGAAAGGAAGAACTTTGGATGTATACACACAGAAACACACACACACACACACACAAAGCAAGAAATAAAAAGGATGAGGGGCAAGTGACAGGCAAAGAACCTCTAATTCGACTTTTTAATATTATTTCATTTATTAGAGCGTAATTAATTTCTTATTAAATGATTAATCATAAGGTTAAAAGAAAAGGTCATGTTGACTGCTAATTATACAACCTTAAAAGAATTTCAAACATGTTAACAAGAATACTCATAAATTAACTCATACTCTTGGAAGACAATTTGGTGTTAAAAATTCAAAATGCACATATACTTCCACTAATTAATACAAGTAGGAAGAATTTATCCCACAATTAATTTGCAGAAATATGCAAAAATATGCAAAACAGGATGCTGGGTGCATTACTAGAAATATTAATGTTGGAAAAAATGTAAAATCATTAATGGGGAAATTAGACCATGGTCAATTCCTATAATGAAATATATGGAATGATACAAAATGTTCTTCTAAATAGATTATTATATGAAAAAAATCAAGTTAAACAATAACTTGTGCCAGATTAACCAATATTTGTTTTTTAAACACTGGATACATAGATATACAAACATGTTTGCACAAGCAAATGCTTCAAAGACACATAAGAAACTTAACAGTGACCATTTCTGGGAAATGGAATTGAAGTCAGGGGGCAAAAAGATGGAGAGACATAGACATATATACACGCATTACTTTTAACTATACACAAATACTAATTTTATTTTTTTTATTTATTTATTTTTTGAGTCGGAGTCTCACTCTGTCGCCCAGACAGGAGTGCAGTGGCCGCTCCCGGCCACCGCAGCCTCGACCTGCTGGGCTCCGGAGATCCTTCCGCCTCAGCCCTCCAAGTAGCTGGAACTACAGGCGGGCGCTAACACGCCCGGCTCATTTTGATTTATTGTAGAGATGAGGTCTAACCAAGTTGTCCAAGCGGGTCTCGAACCTGCGGGCTCAGGCAATCCAACAAATACTAATTTTGAATTTGAAGAAAAAAATAACAAGTAAAAAATAAGTCTTAGGTATCAAACATAGAAATAGGCCAACAAATTTAAGAGTAAAAAATGTTTCACTTACATATAACTGAGAAGTCTTACCTGACATTTAGCACTACAGTATTTGGCAACTCGGCATTGAGAGCACCGCATCAGTTTTTCCTTCCTGTTAAAAAAAAAATTAACTCCACATTAGGAAATGAGTGAGAAGCATACGACATAGCTGAAGAAAGAAAACATCAATCAACCAATATGTTCTGCTCACTCCATAAGTATGGTCCCTTAAAATTTAGATATTCACATTGATAAACATCTTCTTTCACCTTCAAGGTGAAACATTTACACAAAAATAGATCCTTTTTTAAACTGTGGTAGAATATACATAACATAAAATTTACCACTTCAACCATGTTTAAATGTACAGTTCAGTATCAGTAAATATATTCATATTGTTACACAACTATTACCACCACTAATGTTCTTTTAAACTTAAATTCAGTTAAAATGCAGAGATTCCCACTTAAATAAAAAAAACTTCACCTCATAGAGATAATAATTGCTTCATAGAAAATTCAAAATCCAGTCCATAAACTAGTTGAAAGAATTCTATACCCTTTCAAATATAATACTTTTGTCTTAAGCTATCATATATTTAAGTATTAATTCATTCTTTCTGAGAGATTATTTTAAAATTTCATTAAACTGGCAGGGCACGGTGGCTCAAGTCCATAATCCCAGCACTTTGGAAGGCTGAGGTGAGAGGATTGCCTGAGCCCATGGGTTCCAGACCAGCCTGGGCAACATGGTGAGACCTCTTCTCTACAATAAATCAAAAAATTAGATGGGCGTAATAGCACGCACCAGTAGTTCTGGCTACTTGAAAGGCTGAGGCTGAAGGATCACCTGAGCCCAGTAGGTCAAGGCTGTGGTGGCTAGGTGCATGTCATTGCACTCCAGCCTGGGCGACAGAGTGAGACTTGAACCCATAGGCTCAGGCAATCCACTCGCCTAGGCCTCCCAAAGTGCTAGGATTACAGACTGAACAACCGAGCCCAGCCAAAACTTTTTAAAAACTTGAATTACAAAATAAAAATAATAAATTTGATGGTAAAATTAATAGTGACAAGGGTCAGACAGGACTGTAGATAATTTCAACGGTAGTCAAGGGCACTAAAAGCCAATGACCAAACAGAACAATTCTTTCTAAGCACTTCTGATGTGCCAGGCACTGTGCAAAGTTCTTCACTATCTACCAACTCATACTAACTTGAAACATTTCTGTTAGGTAAGCAGTCTTATTATGCCTACGCTAGAAACACTTCAACATATTTTCAAAAGATAAAAAGTTGATGGAGTTGTACAAACTTGACTAAGGAATGATACCATGAAGTAAATGTGGTAGGTGATACTGCAAGGATAAGAACAGAATCCTATAGAAAATCAGAACCTGAATATGTCAGTTTCTCTCACCCATGCCAGTTCTGGCATGTCTCTCCTTCCTCTCTTCTTTCTCTAATAAAATCTGTTTTAAAATTAAAAACAAAAACAAAAACAAAACTTGAATACATGAGGTACCTCACCTCTGAAAGAACAGAGATGATGTATGGAGTAAAAAACATGGGAAGATGCTAAAAGTCTAAATAAAACTAAGTCAAAATGCCTTCCACCCCCAAATATAGAATTCTAGCTGCCAAATATCAACACCCTAGACAGCAAACCAAACCCAAGATATCTAGCTCTAAAGTTTATGCTTTTAACTACCACACTATACTCTTAAATAAAACTGCATAAAAATCAAATCCACCCATAGGCTGCTTATGAGACATATTTCAAATCAAAGGACATACAAAAGTGGGATGAAAGGCTATGTCAGACAAATATTAACTTAAAAAAAAACTGCATTCATATATCAATGTCAGAAAAAAATACTTTAGTGTTAAATACATTAACAGAGATACAGAAAGTCAATACACAATGATAAAAGACTCCAATCACCAAGTGTTATTGTACCTAGTAACAAATGTACTCAGTCTCAAAATATATAAAGTACAAATAAAAGATCTGTAAGGAAAAATGATCAAAATACAATAAGTTAAAGAAGTACTTGGAATATAGTCAGTATCAGATAAGAATTAGTCATTCAATTACTATAAAAAGATACTATAAACTCTCTCTTTTCTGGAGGCAAGGTGGGACACCTTACCAAACTAAAAACTATCTATACAGAAAAATAAATCATGAAAGGAGTAAAAAGACAACTCATGAAATGGAAAAAAAAATATTTGCATCCAACAAAGGCCTAACATCCAGGATCTACAAGGAACTAAAAAAAAATTGGCAGGAGAAAAACAATCCCATTATTTTAATGGTAAGCAAAGGACATGAACAGGCACTTCTTTTTTTTTTTTCTTTTTTTTTCCAGTTTTTTTTCTCACTCTGTCGCCCAGACTGGAGTGCAGTGGCCGCTCCCGGCCACTGCAGCCTC